TCGAACCCCTTTCTTGGCCCAGCCTCGTCCATCCAGCTACGCAAACAAACGCCTGTACCACGTTGAATGCCATAATCAACAATGACGTGTATTCTGCGTGCTATTAAAGACTCGGTGGCCGCCATATTTATTTAGCGCGGCTAACGAGTCCGCGATGTATTTTGGCTGTTTTCACGTGACGCGATTCACGAGACTCGTCCCGGTTGGGGTCGCGTGACAATAAAGCTTGGTTCACTATTTTTTTTTTTTTCCAACTATTCGATTCATACTGTATTTGCCAAGCGATTTTGGTCGGTCCGGTAGTTGAGGTAATCCCACGGAATTATATTGGCACATCCATTGAACGTTATTGCCCGTCTCGGGAGTGAACTTAATCTAAATTTTGTATCAGCTCGAATCTATCGGGGGTAAACGGATTACGCAGGCTGATGAGCATAATGATATTTAATCGGACGGCAATGTCAACCCTCGAGGTGCCCGAAACATTGGCAGGTTATATTCGGTTGCTTCCGAGAGCAGACCCAATCGGAGGACTTGGGGTGTTCCGGAATTAGGGGGTTGCCGATCGATAAACTCTGGATGACGGAGGAGTCGGAGTATCTGGAATAGGACGATAATGGAGGACGTGTAACGTATATGGGGTAGTACCGTAGCGGCTCGAAGGAGGATCAGTGTGTTGGCAGAATTTCGATTGGCCTTCGGGTTTTTCTAGAAGCTTTTCTAATTGCCCGATTTAACCGTCCGTGGCGCTGACTGTCGTTCTCGTCCGTGATTTTACGGGCGCCGCCGATATTCGCCTCTTTGACCTTAGTACTTTTTCTTGGTTCGTTAATTGATATCATTGTTATCTCGGATGTCGATAATGGAAGAGGGAGGGGGGGGGGGGTAGGTACGTCACGATTCACAACGTTGAACGTTTTACGAACGAGGGTTGGCTGATTATCGTAACCGTTCGATGCTTTTCGGAACGTGTCCTTTGTAAAGTTCGTTACGAAACACAGAGGGCAGCACAGTTCAGGATCGCGGTTGGATGCTTCTGCAATTTGATCCTATTAATATGACCCTAGTGCTAATTAGTGTGAACTGCCGGTGTGGCGATACCGGATAATCGATAGCCGCTGTGGTACGTGTATACGTCGAGGTTTCTATGGGAATATACAGGTATTTCGTATGTGTCGTGTGTGTATATATATATATATCGGCGAATGGCTATTCCCGTGCCTGAGGATTTGAGGCCAATAATGGCGACGATGATGGTGGGTGCTGTTGTGCTTTGGAGGACTCGATCAGATAGTCTCGGGATCAGCGCTTCTCTCTCTCTCTCTCTCTCTCTCTCTCTCTCTCTCTCTCTCTCTCTCTCTCTTAGTCTCGGGATCAGCGTCTCTCTCTCTCTCTCTCTCTCTCTCTCTCTCTCTCTCTCTCTCTCTCTCTCTTTCTTTGGGCTGTCCAACCTTTGATCAGCTTGCCATGACAAAAGCGATGGCCACAAGCCTGATTTAAGGTATCAGGGAACGTCGTAAAATAAAATGATTTTTCCTAAATTCGTCAAAATTTTTCATCGCCTCAATAAAGGTGGAACCGCCGACCAACCTCCGTGGCAGTGTTCGTAAAACTATAAAAATGTTGTATTTTCACGTTACAGACGTCGTGAGCCCAGTAGCCAAAACGCCGCCGGTGAAACGAAAGAAGATCGAGACCAGCGCGAAGGAGTCGCTTCCGGTCGGCAAGGGTAGTAGCGGCGAAGTCAGGGCCGGCGAGCCCGAGGACGCGAGCGAGATCGACCGCAAGAAGAAGAAGGCGAGGACGACCTTCTCCGGGATCCAGATATTCGAGCTGGAGAAGCAATTCGAGGTGAAGAAGTACCTGAGTTCATCGGAACGGGCCGACATGGCGAAGCTGCTGAACGTCACGGAGACACAGGTGAGTTTTTGAACATTTTTCCCCTTTTCTTGTTTTACGTCGCGTCCATAAAATTCGTCAACTATTTAAGGCATGTTTACAAGATCCTCGCTCGGGTCGCTCCGCCACGCGGGCGTCGTTGAGGTGGAAGAATCGCGCTTGGGGTGGGTGGGTGGTGGGGAGGGTCTTGACCCCAACCGCTGATGTCGCGCGACGCGCTCCGAGAAAGTCGCACGGTGTTTTTTCGCGTCCGCCGATGCGTCAGGAGTCTGGACTAATTAGCCGTTGAGCCCCCGGTCGGTAATGCAGAGCTCTAGCCGGCCCTTATTAACGTGCCCTTAGCCGGCCGCGAAGATTACCCAGAAACGGCGAAGCCGGTCTCGCGGATCGGCTCGTTCCGCCAAGGAAGAAGAATGCATCTCGCACCTCTGCCCGTTGGCGCGCGAGATGCATTCTTCGGTCGGTCTGGCTTTTTCTGCACCGAGCTTCTCCTCCGCTTCGCCAAGTGAATGCCTAAGGGCCACTTTTATGCCTTACCGGTTTCTCCGCCGGTTTCTCACAGCGTTTTGTCCGGCGCTCTCGTATCACGGCCGTTTGCGCAATTTTTGGTTCCTCCGCGGGGTCAGGCGGGTTTTTCTTTTCCCCGCGAATCGTCTCCTCGCTTTGCCAGCACCCTATTGGGCCGAGGAGATCGGCACTTGGGTACCTTGCCGACTCCCGGTCGCCTTTCGAAATTGCCTTTAGGTGCCCGATTTCCAGGACTGCCCGTCACTCGGGAACCCGGTTCCATTAAGGTTTGCCACTCTTGGCCGCGCTATGAATTATCACCGCTGTCACTCGTAGTCCACCCCCATTAATTTAAGCCCGCAACACGCTCTCGCGTGGTGCCTTTTTAACGCTTGGCCGTTCCAGCGCTGCACTGACTCGACGGTCATCGTGCCTGGGACGATACGAGGAAAAAGGGACTTCTGGTCACTGGTTTTAACGTAAATGCTGTCACTTTGCGGAAAGACGTGCCTTTAAACTTAAACGGTGGGAAATCCATAGGGAAAAGAAAAATAACGTAGCGATCCGGAAATGAATAATCGCTCGACCTAACCTCGAAATATCGAATAGACGGTCGACCTCAAAATTTTCCCTTCTCGAACCTGCAGTATTGAATTTGCCGAAATATCTCCGCGAGCGAGAGGCGCGCCGTGAAATATGGTCGGTGTGTCCTGAGTGGGTCTTCGGGGCCCCCGGTGGTGGTAGCCTGAAAAAAGAAAAAGGAAAAAAAAAACAGTCAAGTCGACCAGTCTACCAGTTAGTAGCCTGTTACCTGTCTTGTTATACTTATGCGCTACAAGAAGCCGAGAAATCGAAAAAGCAGAGGCGCACAACAAGAGGCTTCGGACGCATCGCGGAGCCTATTGGCTCTACGTGTCCCTTGTCAAGTCTTCTTGGCCCAGCTGCTCCCTCCGGGAGGACTCTTCGCTCTTCGCCCGTTCCCTCCTGAGACTCGCTTCTTCGTCCCCTCTCTCTCTCTCTCTCTCTCTCTCTTCGCTCCTCGAGGTGTCCGTCCTACGTTTCGTATTCCGGACTCGAACCTTCACGTTTTTATTGCTTTGGATTTCCTACGGGGGAACATAAAAGGACTTATATCAGTCTCGAGTTATTCACTGGCTTCTTTTATCCATCCTCTACCGTCTAACCCGCCTCTACTACCGGGAAAACACGTAGAGTCGCGTAGCCGATCTACGACTGCGACCGGACGGCTGATCCTTAACGAATTAAAATCATTCCAAGAGTCGAAAACGAAGCTTTAAAAAATCACGAGAAGCTTCGCTTTACCGATCGAGATGCGCGCGCATGTTACCCATAATGCATCCTTGACGCCGGTGGCGCCGCCTGGCGACGCGCGGAAACACTGAAACGAATAAACAGCTCGACGACGCGTTTTGGCATTTTCCGACTTTTTAACCTCCAGCAGCGATTGCGCAACGTTGCTCCATCCTCGGGTAAGTTAACCACGAGCCAAACCAAACTGATATATTAATAAGCCGTTAGCTTAATGGACAAACGCTTGGTAGGCGGCCACGGCCTGACAGTGACAATCTGCTCTGGCGTTGACACGCATTTCGAAATGCGTGTGCGTTGCTGTAATCGTCATCGTGCACGTGCAAATTCTGTTAATGGGTGTGAGAGATTTTGACGAGGGGTTTGG